ACTATATGATGTTTATTTTCCTTTCTACTTCTTGGCACTTTTTCGCATTTATAATTATTTTTGTGTTTATCCTATTTTTTTGTTTTTTGTGCTGTTGGTGTCTTTAGATTTATTTTTTTTGTTAAATACTCCTTTTAAATTGTTTGTAACATTAGATGCAAATATTGTAGATATTGTGGTGAAAATTCCACACTGTACCACTAGTACTGTTTCTGGAGTAAAGCAAATTATTATTATTAAAAAAGGAGGGAGTAATTCATGTTTGATGGGCTTTCCACCGTAGAACATTACGAAGAGTAAACGCATTTGTGTAGTTGAGAAAGATTTTGAGGCATATCACAAACAAACCCCAATCTCGGCGGCTTGCTAAAATCTCTGGGTTCCTTTAATTTTATATCGATCAAAATGCATCATGCCTACTCTCTTCTAATTGCCACAATGAGTCGTAATTTATATTCATGCGAAATTTCAAATAAGTCTCTACCTGTCAATAAGAAATTGAGGAGTAGCAACAGAGCATAATTTAGATGGAACAATATTTTTTCACATGATATATTGTCGATGATTATATTATTTCAAGATTCAGCACAAACAGCAGACACCTTACAATGAAAGGCGCTAAAAATTCTATATTGTGTTGAAACGCATTTTCCAGAATGAAGCTATTGTCATTATTTTGATGTGCTTGTGTTCTCTGAGCTGGATAGTTGATTTGCGAAGCTTTCATCACCTTACTAGGTGACATCTTCAGAGCATACTTCAAATTGAAGAGCATAATTTAGATGGAACAATATTTTTTCACATGATATATTGTCGATGATTATATTATTTCAAGATTCAGCACAAACAGCAGACACCTTACAATGAAAGGCGCTAAAAATTCTATATTGTGTTGAAACGCATTTTCCAGAATGAAGCTATTGTCATTATTTTGATGTGCTTGTGTTCTCTGAGCTGGATAGTTGATTTGCGAAGCTTTCATCACCTTACTAGGTGACATCTTCAGAGCATACTTCAATTTGAAGTATGCTCTGAAGATGTCACCTAGTAAGGTGATGAAAGCTTCGCAAATCAACTATCCAGCTCAGAGAACACAAGCACATCAAAATTATCCACCTGAGCTACAAATCTTCTCTATCATTTCTATTGTCATTATTATTATTGACATTGATTCTCAGTGGTCAGAAGATCAAGAAACGGAAAATGTTTTGTCTGAGTAGAACACTTCCATTTATTGAGTTGTTTCAAAGTGGTTCTTGACATATCCTATACAAACGTTTGCTATCATTGTCATTATTATTGTTGACTAAGTAAGATAGCTTACAGTATAAAAATTTGTAATTTGGTCGCAAATTCTCAATGGATATTTTTGATGTTTGCATTATTTTATAAGACATCTAAAAAACCACGATTAGTTTTGCCTGAACGTCGACGTTTGTGTAAGCAGACCAATTAACTTACTTGGGAATGTTTCACTAAGAAGGAAACTTCCCTAAAGTGATCGCTGAACCTTTCTCCAATTAGTTACTTAATGTCAGCTTATATAGCTCCTAAAAATGTGACTACACACTTTAATTTCCAGTGTAAGCTACTCAAGTTGTGTAACACTTGCATGTTTTAATAGAACTAGAATTGAGTCTTCGCAGCTATTAAGTAACTTTTGTTTGAAATGAAAACAGGAGCAAGACATTAGTGCTTACTATCACGAGTTTCCTTCCTGACTGGAGTGAACTGGATCATGCGCCGAACCGCGGAGAGTGAGAAAATATGCATACACTGAACTGACTGAAAGACCCTAGAAGATATGGACTTCACAAGTGATAGATGTCACAAGCCGCGAGAATTCGGAGATACAAAAGAGAAAACCAACAAGGTGACACAAAGAGCAGCAAAGACACGATTTCAGATTTATGTAGGGAAGACAGAGCTGATGAAGATGCCTAACCAACAAAAGAAAAACACAGCAAACATAGCCAAGGTGATAAATCTGAAGGAAGGAGCCAAACTCCCTAAACTGGTCAGCATCATTTCTACCTCTTTAGTCATGGATGAAGATGTCCAAGTCAGACACTAGCAGAAAGGCAGGATAGCGTTAATTCCTCTAAAATTAGTATGGGAGTCTACAGCATTTAGTACATTTGGTACAAGTCATGGCTTTTGTTTAGTTGAAGGACTTTACACACACGTCACTAAAAAGGTTTTCAAGAGGCTGCAGGATTTAATCGACATCTGATTTCACTTTATACTGACGATCAGAATGCCGGCAGCGGAGGAATTGTTATCAGAGACAGAGAACAAATCAGGAACCTATTATGCAGCAAATATACACAAGGAAGTGGAGTGGGATTAGAATTAAGGTGCTAATCAAGTGATATGTCACGCCATGCCGTTTGATGGAAATTGAATGTGGGTCCGAAAGTGACATGAGGAGCATCGTGTTAGGTGAAAATGAAAGCATATGAGCTAGAAGTGATAGTAGGGAACCAATTTGAATGGTGTTTTGCCACTGGAGTCTTGTAGTTTTATTGGGCACCAGTTAGTAACCATTATTTTGGGTCTAGTCCTTTGTTTAGTGCAAACTGAATTCATTTAGTCAAGTTCGCAATGTGGCAACCATGTTAGGTGTTTTGGAATCATGGCGCAATGAGAATTCTTGTTATTAGATGGTTGGAGGCAATAGACAATAGAATTCGTCCACCTAAGTTTTGTGTTCACTCCGACACTTGTCAGTAAGACTTACCTGTATTCTTGAAGGAAACCAGGTCCCTTCTGCGACTCAAACCCGTATCATCCAGTGATGTCGTCAAAGAGGTTAGCACCGGGATATTCACGGTGGCGATTGACCTCCTGTAGGACTGTACTGAATACTTCGATTGGGCAATAACCAGTATCATGAGTCTACTCCTTTGTTTGGTGCAGTCACCTGATGCTAAAGGATGGGAATCGTGAGCCCAAAACGCTCACTGCTAACGTCTCTAACTGCGCCAGTAGCTGACACATGTTCCAATTTCCTGAGGGACATGCGTTTCTCCACCACTGCAGATAAGTCTCACTGACGGATGCCAAAATAGGCACGAAATATAAGTGGAAAGCCTCGAGCCGATTGCCTTCAACCTGCTAGATAACACTAGAGTCTAAAATTCCACACTGAACGCGATGCATAATTAATAACAATAGTAATAATAATAAACAGCCTGCTTATTTGATTTTATCATCTTTTATAGTTTTCTGTTGTTTTTCATAAAGTTTTTGTTTTCAGGTTCTATTTTCTAATTTTATGTCATTTTTTAAAAGCGTTTTTATCTCCAAAAAACAACTGGCCAGTTCTTTTATTGTTTAGTGATTATCATTATTTCCTCTATTTTTCTTTTGGAAACAAATGGTATGGCCGAAAAAAAAGAAACACAGGAAGGGAACAAATATATATTCGATGAAACAATGCCAGTTCATCTTTTCTTCTTGGAGGTTTGCCAAAAAATCTAGTGACTGAATCATTAGTTTAATTCGTGAAATGTGTAGGGAGAGACAGATCAAAAATGACTGACCAAAAGACATTCTTCTCAAAGAATTTACTATCAAGATATGCATTCTTCTATATATATATATATGTTTCATTCCTTTATGTTCCCAGTGGAACATAGGAGGCTTCAAGCTAGAGTCTTGAAGTTTCAGTAGCAATGGTGTTTATTTTTACGGGTTGAGGTTGCTAGCCTTATGTCCAACCTTCCTTCTTTGCTAGTCTTATTACTGGCTTAGAGAGGTAAAGGAGTGAATTGGCAGCCGAAGGTCGAACCCCAGACCACATGCAGTGTGGTTGGTGAGCATTCTACCGCTGAACCACCGCCACACCATAGATATACTGGCCGACATACTCCTGAGACTCGCTTATTCAGTAGTAATTCCAGTATAGAGGAGAGTATGAACGTGAGGCTAGTGACGTCATCCCGTGAAAAATGAAACCACTTCGACTGAAACTTCAAAGATCAATCTTGAGGCCTTATGTTCTACTCTAGACACAAGGGAATGGAATAAATTATATATATATATATATTTACGAGTTGATCACGGATTGATATCAGTTAGAGAACTACTGGAATTCACCAGGGAGTACTGGATAGCTGTTTCATCCTAGTTTGGGAATCATTGGCAGTACGCACTCACCGCCAAGGTTCGAACCCGGGACCTTCTGGTTACGAGGCAGGCTAGCTTGTATACCATTCAGCCACTGGGACCCGATTCAATGGCCAGTGCATGAATTCTAACTTCTATCAATTCGTGATTAAGCCCAACTCCATCCTCACACGTGACCAGTGAGGTCCGTCCAGTCAAGTGTGAGAATGGAGTCGCTCTAAATCACGAATTGGTAGAATTTAGAATTCATATACTGGCCACTGAATTGAGTCCCAGTGGCTGAATGGTATATGAGCTAGCTTGCTTTGTAACCGGAATGTCCTGGGTTCGAAACTTGTTGGTGGTTGCGCACTACCGATGATTCCGAAACTAGGATGAAACAGCTGTCCAGAACTCCCTGGTGGATTTCAATGTTCCTCTAACTGATATCAATCCGTGGTCAAATTCCTAATAACAAATCTAATCGTTACAAACCAATTATAGAAAAAATATAAATATTAAAAACAGTATCTCATGGGGAAATTCAGGCAATGCTAGTGCTACCGTTAGTAATATTTCCTGTTTCTTACTGTTCCCAGTGAAGCATAAGGTTTCAAGCTTTGGCTTTTAAGTTTCAATAGATGCGGTGTCATTGTTACGTGGTGCCCAAATTTCACTCTTCACGCGATTAACTACCAGCTTAGCGAGGTCTAAGACTATGTCAGGCGGGATTTGAAGCTTGGGCCACTTTTGGTGTGGTCGGTGGGCATTCTACCACTGAGTTACCAATGAAACACTGCCAGTAATAATAACAGTTAGTATCTTTATTTTACAATCATGAATAATATTGGTTAAAAATTTTTTTATTTTCGTTTTTTTCCTTTTTCCAGCTATTTCAGACGCTACAGGAGATCTTGGCTGTTTTGGTTTCATCCTTCTCGGTATCTCCTATCTACTGATTCTCATTACACTTCCCTTCTCTTTATGCTTTACAACACGAGTAAGTTTCATTTACAGATATATTTTTCTTGTTCCTGTGCATCAGTGGCGCAGAGGCAGAATATTCGCCAACAACGCCCCATGTGGTCCGGGGTTCGATCCCCACCTTATTAAGCCAAAAATAAGACTAGTAAAGAGGTAAGGTTAGGCTTGAAGCTAACAACTTTATCCTGTAAAAAATTAACACTATTGCCACCGAAATTTCATATCCCTAGCTTGAAGTTCCCTATGTCCCATTGGGTCTGTAAAAGAATACAAAAAGAAAATTTCCTTCTCCATAGAATTACATTATTTCTAAATAATTTCTACATTTCGAAGTAATTTATTTGCTGGTAGCTAGCTGTCGAGTTGAGTACACGCGTATTTCCTCCTGTTTATGGCTTGTCAGTCGGATGTAGTTGAATTCCCTGTGAATGACTTTCTCCTTGTAACTCGTAACGAGCAGCAGCTACTTCATTGATAAAGTGTTATCGACTTGTCAAAAGAGCTACTACATTCACCTTTGTGATTTACTGTCGATATATGTATATATAGGACTTTAGGCTTGATACCTTGCAGTTCCATTGGCCGTGGTATTACTTTTAAGAGTTAGAGTTACTAGCCTAGTGCACAACCTTTTTCCTTTTCTGGTTTTATCATCCATCAACCGGTGAACTAGGCATGATTTAGGAGTACGGTGGTCAGGAAACTAGCTCAGAAAAGGTGTGTGTTTTGTCAACATTGTACTGCTGAAATACCGAAGCATATTTGACCGAAGTGCTCAGTGTCATTTCGAGATAATATAGTAGTAATGAAACATTTGTTAAAGAAGACTATATACCAGTATGAGGCTGATCAGTTTGGTTAGATACATCCACAGGCAATGAGAAACATGGATGGATAATTATCATGTTTGTTGTATTCCTGAATCCAGGTAACGTAGTTGAGGGTCAGTCGTTACTGTGGTCGAATGCATAATTCATGGCAGACACTAGTAGTGATCTATTTCCCACACTTTGTACTCCTCTATTTTCAGTAGTTCTATTTCTCTGACCTGATATCTGAAGACACGCTTGTATAACATGCCCCTTATAACAGGTTCAATCTCAATGACTTGAGAAATTCAAAATAGCGACAAATGCATACTTTATAGGTATAATTCACCAGATAGCATCTGAAAACTATCACTCGTTTATTTGTTATCATTCCCTTGGGTTCCGAGTGGAATAAAGGGCTTCAACAAAACATCTTTACTTTGTCCTGTTTGTCGCTGTCCTCTTCATCTGGGCCCAAGATTGACCAGAATCTCTGATCTCGTCCTCCAACTCGCACGATCTCCTCTATGTCACACTGGTCATGGCTTTTCACCGGAACTTCAGGTAAATTCTCCCTGTAGCCAGTCACTAGTGAGCATCAGATGATTGCATTAAAATCATGAAATGGTAGAAGCTGTAATTCATGGGCTGGCCATCGGGTTGAATGCCACTGGCTGAATCGTCTAGAAGCTTGCTTTGTAACCGGAAGGACCTGAGCTTGAACCCTGGTGGTAGATGCTTATTGCCAGTTGGTTCAAAACTAGAAGGAAGGTGCAATCATGCATGTCTTGATTCTCTGAATGATACCAATCCATGATATCTGAGATAATCCTGTATTGGGAGACTTTCATTGATGTAATGGTTAGCAGCTGAATGTGAAATCAAAATCTTCTTTCCTTCTAACTCCACATGATTTGGATTTACAAGAGAATAGCTAACCAGGCAACTAGTGGAATGATAATCGAATACCTCCATCATGCAGTTTATAGTTCACCATTCAATCATCACACAATTATCCAAACGCTAATGAATTAATTTGTTTTGGGCTGCATATTTTTATTTTATATCCAAAGATACTTGATGTCATTTACTTCTGTTTTGCATTTGTTTCAATTTCTCATACTTCATTAATTTTTCATCATATGACCTAAAATGATTGAAAACTCAATAAGCCATTTAAAAATAATAGAGGCTGAACTAATTGTGGATAGGAGAGAGGTAATGAAGTTAAACTAAATTCACTGCATCCCTTCCTTAGTCAATTTCAGATTAATTAGAAAATATCATCTGTATGATCGGTATTTCGGCGGTAGGAATGCTCGTCGTGTTTTGGTTTGACTACCACTGGGTCTTTTCCAAACTTACCCTATGTCAGCTAACACTGCCCATCGAGGAAAGCGATGGCTAGACATACATGCGCAACACATGTCCCAACCATCTCAATCGATGTAACTTCAGAGGCTCCTCTATGGATTTCCCGTCCCCCCCTAGCACTCTACGTCTTACCTCAATATTGCTCACCTTATTATACTACTTCACACGGAAGATAGAACGCAGGCATCTATGATCGAAGACGGCTAATCTTTTCATGTCTTCTACTCTCAATGGCCAGGTCTCACAGCTATAAAGGAGGATGGAGAGGACTGCTGAGCAGTACACACGTCTTTTGGTCGATAGCCAGCCGGATATCGCGTCTACAAAAGAGACGGCGTAAACTGGCAGATGCGAAACTTGCCCTTTGTATATGTGCTGAGATTTTGTCAGCGATCAACTCGTTGGGGCTGACGCAACTTCTTAAATTAGTGAAGTGGTCAGTAAGCTCTACCACTTCACTCCCTATTTTCAAGTTAGGAGTAAGTGTAGTCCAGTCCTGTAATATCACCTTACAATTGGCGGGAGCGAAGTGCATGACGAACATTCATAGATTGCAGCTCGAGGTTTTCAGAAACCGCTGCATTTTGTCAGCGTCTTCACCTAGAAGGACTATATCATCTGCATAATCTAAGTCAACGAGACTATTGTTCCCTGGTTACAAGTCAATCCCTGAGTCTCTGAAGTGAGTTAGAGTTAAGCCTATTAGTACAATATCTAGGATGAAATTGACTAGAAACAGGGATAGTGGACGTCCCTGTAGGACACCACTAGTTGTCACCACTTCAGATGAAAACTCGCCGTAAGGTCTCATCTGGTATAAACAGCTTTATGACCGGCAAATTGAAACATGGACCGACTACAGTTTCATTACTTGACAGCCAAATAAAGATATAATCTTTGTCTTTCTCTCGAATAATTATGAAATTCTCTTTCTGTCTTCAATCCCTTAATATTTAACCAATCAGGTAATCGCTGAATATGAAAGAGCGGTTATATTTCGTTTGGGTAGAATTCTTCCAGGAGGTGCAAAAGGTCCAGGTTTATTTTTTGTTGTACCTTGTATGGATCGAATGCGTAAAGTGGATTTGAGAACAGTGACATTTGATGTACCACCACAAGAAGTGAGTGTTCATTTTATTTATATATATTTATTAATATAAACAGTGGATTCGAAAACAACTGAACTTATTTTGCGATACATCTAATAATCATAACCTTGTTTGTGTATCTAACACCTGAATGTCATTATTGATATTATTGTTATTTGTTCATTGCTTTTTAAGTGTAAGAAAAGACTGCATCGGCACATCTTCACACTCCTAGGTTCTATTGTAATGACAGAAGACAAAGGCCAGGCAACGGATCGTTTCTGAAGGAAATCAACACATATTTATAGCTTTTCATGTACAATAATATAGATTATTGTTAGCAGAAAAACACAGTCTTCTGATTGGTTGTTTCTCACTGCAAGTTAATCTTTCATCTCTTTGTGGCTGTTTCTTGAATGTCAGAGCATCTTTATGTTAAATGTATTTGCCTACGCAAAGTCTGCTTTGGTCGGTTTTTGAATCAGTCTTTGTTCATATTTTTCTCACGACCAATATTGAGGACGTCAAACATTGACGTAAATTACCATCTACCAATTTGGCTAGCAGCCAGCTCTCACCACACTCGTCCCCCGTCAAAGACTTGCGACTGAAGTTGGTTTGGTCTTCTTGGTTCTAGGGGCTTTGTTCGTTCGTCTTGCTGTTTGGAATCGTGGCGCTCGCTGATGTTCACCTGTTTCTCTTTGTTTGCCATTGCGATTGTATCTGCGTAACCCCATCTCAAAGTGACAATATGTGGTCCTTCCCGTTTTGGAAACTGTTTGCCTGGCCCTGCCGCACATTCGTTGGTATTTCGCCTCACACTTCCATATGCTGCTTTCTCCTGTCACGTTGAGCAGACTAAACGAATGCATACAAGCTTACATTTTCTTCTCATATCATTTCCTCTATGTACCACTCGGATGTTTATCCATTCAGGTTGTACTTAACTGCCTCGTGCGTGATTTTGCTTGAATGATGGTTCAGTGCAAATCCTATCCACCTCCGTTTCCATCTGCTTAATTTTTGAATAATATTTTATAATCTGTCTGAATTCCTCGTCGCTTGCATTGACCTTCTGGCTAGTTATCTGATCTGCAGTATTGATGGAAGGTAGTGGTTGGTCAGTCGGTCAGTTTTTGACATAGAACTTTGCACATATGTGCGGCAGTTCAAGTAGCCACACTCCCTCCATGTAGCACACAAAGCAAGAGAAGAAAGTAGTAGAAATGCATAATATAGTCAGTAAACAGAGGTGTGAGACAAAGGAATAGTAATAACGAAGAACAAAACAGAACAGTTTCATTGGAAACCATAAGTCACAAGGAGTGAATGCATCTGCGCCACTGAGAACGATTTTGAGCCATGTCACCAATTGTTCCCAACCATTGATTTTTACCGTCCCGAGGACCCCAACCAGGAAGTCTGCACCTTCCTACGTGGCTTAAACTAACTGTTGTAGATTTCATTGACTGGTGCCATGTTTTGGTTTGACCACCGCTAGCTCTTTTCCAGCCTGGCCCTATATCAGCTAACATTGCCCATTGTCGAGGAAGGCGATGACTAGGCATACGTAGCACATGTCCTAACCATCTCAGTCGATGTAATTTCAAAGTTTCGTCGACTGATTTCCCCGCCTTACCTAGCAGCTGATGAAAGGTCATAGTAGTCGATTGGAAATGCTTTCAGTGATGCCTGCAACAATTCTGTGAACCAAACAAAAAGCATTTATTTGACATTAATGTTGAAAACTCAGTTGAAGTTTGGGTCTCCTCACTGATTTTTGAGTAATGTACCTGTATTCCGCTTTTCCAATCTTAGTTTGTAGAATACTTAAGGAAGTTATTCCTTGGGAGAAATCTACATTTCGTCATGAAACAACTACGATCACGTGAAAAAACCCGAACAAAGTCAAAACCGATTTATATATATATATATAATACTGTATCATTGTGTTTTTTATCAAATAAAATTATTCTCTAATGGGATTATACTCCCCAGGGCATTAGTCGGATTATATTCTCATAACAGTGGAACTTCTTACTTATATTAAGATTATTAAATAATCCGATTTTGATGACCTTCGCACAGTGATGTATACAGCTGACTGATCGATGTGGGTAGTCTGAAATCACTTACTTTGAACTGTTAGCCACATTGAAGTGATCTAAATATCGGACAGCTACTCCACTTTGGTTTACCCAGTTCTACTCATCTTAGAGAGCCAAATTAATTCAAATCATCTGAGTGGTGATCAACGACTTATCTTTTAGATATAATTTGAAGGTGAAACTTACCATATTTTCCTTTTGAAGGTGGTATTATGATCTGCTTAACACCATAGATGATAGTCAAGAAGCTAAGTTTGAATAAAGCAATAACAAAAGTTGGTTCAGAATGATATCGTAACATTATTCATTTCGTTGGCTTCTCTTAATGTGTGATAATGAAAGTGATGCATCTCATCTACTCCAATTGTTCATTGATGCTCATAACAATATTGACTTCACAATGGCACATGAAATCGACGGAAAGTTTAGTTTCCTCGATATTGTCTTACAATTCTGAGAAGATAGAGGTCTGCAGAGATCCATACACCGAAATCCCACATGGGTTGGACTATGCTTAAATTCTAATCGTTGTTTTCTAATTATCTATAAACGAGCATTGGTGAAAACTCTGTCTTACAGAACCGAAAAAATATGCTCCACAGAAATACTGGGAAAACTCCTAAAGATTGAGGAAGATTTTTTGAAAAATAATGGTTACCCTCCGGAATTAATCAAAAATAAGTAAGATCTGAAAATCTAGTGGTTGGAAAAACCACAGTGAATACGAAACCTGCCTTCATCCAACTCGATTTTTCACGGTGATAATAACGCAGGGATAATTAACAAATTATACGCAAGCACACCGTTTTAGGGAGAATTCTTTAGATATGGTATATAATTTTGTATGAACTTTCTCTACATATCGAGTTATGTTCGATTTTACCACTCCTTACTGAACCACTGTTACCTTTCCTTAGCCAAGCAGCATATTGCTCTTTGACTCTTTTATATAAAACACCTATGAAGCGACATATACATCCCGTTCCACATGAGCAAGTAAATTTGTAAATACACATAGAAGTTATCAAATGCGATAGTTTATCTTTGGAGTTTTTGAAGAACAATAAGCGACATGAGAATACCAATCGTAATGTAGCAGCAGAGAATGTTCTTTTCAGGGCGTTAGATATTCTCTTCTTGAGGATGTCTGCCAGAAAGTCGCCTCTGAACGCCATATTCATGTGTAGCATCTTCTTCCTCATAAATATGAGGTGTTCTTTGTTTGTTCTAGGCTGCAGAATCTTTGAATTCTAGTCGCAAGAGATATTATCGGGTTTCGCTTGTGACTGATGTGTATATAACTGTAAGAATTTGCCAACTGGTTGATCCTCGTGGGCTTTCCATATACTGATCTGTTCAAAGTCCCATCAGTCTTTATTGTTAGCAGAACATCCAGAGAAGAGACTGTCTGTCTAGTTTCTACTTCAATATTTTAATGACGTGACCCTAAATCATTTTGATTCTTAAGTGACAAACCTAATATACACACACATACAGCTTAGTGAGTGAATTCGCCTCTAGAAAGAGATTCTCCACTGAAATGTTGTCGGTTCTCATATCAGTGCAGTAGAGACAAGAGAAGTAGGACTAGGCTATAAGTTGGGCAGGTTGTTTCATCTGCTCACAGCGTTCATTCTACTAACTCATGTGCGTCGGTGGGACAGCGGTTAGGACTCTCGCCGACCATGCACATGGTCCGAGGTTCGTACCCCTACCGACGCACACCTGATATCAATGGTCGGCCTGCAAAATTTGGGTTGCCGATATCACATGCTGGAAATTCCATACTTGTACCAAAAATACGGTGTGGAATGAAGCTATAATCGAAAAAAAGAAAAAAAATCATATCCGAAAAACAGTGGCAAATAACTCCTGTTTTCATCTTATCTATGAGACAGTGACGTAAAACACAAAGAAGGATGAATAAGAGCCACACACAAAAGCAAAACAGTTATCTACAGGATTTCATCATGAGCTGACATTGGTTAGAGAACCACTGGAAAACCTGGGAGCACTGGACAGCTGTTTGATTATAGTTTGGGACTCTTCAGAAGTACGCGCCCACCTCCAGGTCTTGAACCTAAAACCCTCTGGTTACAAGGCGAGCTCGTGGACCATTAAGCGACGGGGACCCGATCCAGTAGCCACCCCATGAATTCTAAATTCTGCCTATTCACGATATAGCGCGACCACTAGCGAACGTCTTCGGCGAGTATTTGTCCTCACATTCGACCTGCTGCACCCTAGTGGTTACGAATTTCAACTAGAACCCAGGTAACTTCCCACCTGAATAAGGCCAGTCGCCAATGAGCATCTCATTGTGACCAGTAGGGTGCAGCAGTTCGGGTGTGATGACAAATACTCGCTGAAGACGTTCGCTAGTGCTCGCGCTATATCGTGAATAGGCAGAATTTAGAATTCATGGGGTGGCTACTGGATCGGGTCCCCGTGGCTTAATGGTCCACGAGCTCGCCTTGTAACCAGAAGGTCCTGGGTTCGAACCCCAGTGAGTACGTAATGCCGAAGAGTCTCAAGCTATGACGAAACAGCTATCCAGTACACCCAGGTGGTTTTCCAGTGGTTCTCTAACCAATGTCAGCTCATGATGAAATCCCTTTACGAATAAATCAAATCCCTACAAACCAATACTTGAAAACACCTGTCTCTTTTTCTCCCTCAAAAATCAAAAATGTCAGAACTCATCAATAGAAACAAGAAGGGATTCTTTGAGCAATTGAAAGAGAGGGATCTAAGCATTCATCAATCATTTTTTTTATTTTATTGTCTTCAACCTACTTTAATTTCACTTTTTGCATCAACTCATTCCATCCATTAGTGGCTTGTTTTTTTATCATTTTCAATTTATTTAAGTGGATGGTTGAACTCACTTAAGATTCAGTCGCCATAATCATCATCATCGACATT